CCGCCGAGCGTCATAATGATATGCGTCCACGGCGACGGCACTGAAAGCTCTCTCCTCTCGGTTTTGTCAAGTCGCCCAAATTGCCACCATAAGCGACGGGTAGTGCGCAGCGCCGTGCCTCCCGTTTCGAAGAGCGCCTCTGTTATTTCCAAGAAAGTGAGGCATCGCTATACCTTGAAAAGGGAGGATGGAGAGCGGGGGAACTTCGTTACACTGGTAAAACTAAAGCGTAACTCTATGCTTGAGTCAAGCATAAAGTTACGCTTGAAGACGTTACGCTTGAAACTAAGCATATATCAAGCGTAACAGGCTCATTCGCCAAGATCCCCTTATTTAAATGCATGAGGGAATTTCAAGCGTAAACTGATTACGCTTGAAATCAGAGGGTAATACTACGCTTTAGTTTTACCAGTGTAAGGGTATCCAATCCGACACCGAGGGTGTTTTCAGACACTGGGTAGGCAGCATGGGAATCCAAGTAGTGCCAAGTCACCCCATGGTCGGAGCGCGGCAACTTCGGACAGGTGTGGCGCACTTCGATTCCCACGCGAATCGATCGGGCTCATGTTCCGGATTACCCGCGCCATCCAAAGTTTGCTCCCTTTGACGGAACACTCGGGAGGCTGGCGATTGCGCCGTGCATTCCTGCCGAGAGCATCCGCACATTCTCTCCGTCCCTTCTCTGGCCTGTAGGGGCGGCAGTGGCGCGGCACTGGACTGCATTCCCCACACGCACAATGCGAGGAATCGTCTGCTGGCAGCGCTCGGCGAGGATCCCCGCGGACCGTCGTTCTTGGCGCAGGCCATCATTGCCACGCCAGTGCATCCCCCTCGGCCCCCCGCCCCACCAGGGAGTCGCCTCCTTAAGGCACTAGAAAGACCGCCACGAAGGAAAGATCACCACTTTGCCCCTGCAAGTAGGCAAAAGAAGCTGAAGCTCCTCCTAAATCCTCCCTCCTCCCTCCCTTCCCCCAAATCCCCCGTGCATGCCGTTTGCATGGACACACCTGGAAGCACTCACGGCGGGTCCTACGAACAGAGACCGATTTGCCTCGGGTCGCTAGAACAAAGGCAAATCTCCATTCGACTCTGCATTCGCTCTTTCCCTATCTTTGTGGATGGAGCGCATGGCCCGGGGCCAAAGCAGGATCCTCGATCCGAGGCTTATGAACTAGCGCACCGAATACTTTCCGTGGGTGGTGTATACCTTGGGCGGAGCTAGCAGCATCTGGATTCCCAGCGAGAGGAGCGCTTTCATATTGCGTTCAGAGAAGACAATATTATGATTATCATTTCATCATTCATAATAATTTTTTTATGAAGAGAGAAATGCGAGTCGCTGGCCTCGGTTGAAGCCGGAGTGCCACCCCCACTTCTATTGGCCCCGACTTTTTACCCTTGACCTAGCTTCGGCAGGCTGATCGCTAACGGGCGGGGCTAGCTCCGCGCAGCACGCCGTCACGTCAAGGGAGACAGAGGGAGACCTTCTCCGCTCGGGACCAGCCCAGCAGCCCGCAGGCAACAGCTGGGGAGCCCGCCCCTCTTCCCCCTTCCCGGAGACCCAACCAGCGCGGTAAAACGCGTGCTTCGCCGCTTGGTGTTCCGGGCGCCCTGTCGGCCCTCCGTCGGCCCTCCGTCGGCCCTCCGCAGAGACCTGCAGGGCCAGCAGGGCCAAGACGCGCCGAGGTCTGCACGCAACGGGGACGGACACCTCTCTGTTGTGTTTCCAGTTGCCTTTCCACACACATCACTTGCTAAATAATTGATTTTGCTTGATTCCAGGCGCTTTTACACCAGAAGTTCCAAAAGGTGCTTGGTGGGCTAGAGTCCTCCTTGGCGTGGAAGTGGGCAAGCCGGATCCTGTTTTGCCCCACGAATTGTGAGTGACGCAGACCTCTCCCTCCCACTTTCCACACACTTCCACTCTTCCAAGCGCCAGACATCGTCACTCCCTATTTAGCGCCTGCCTGCCCGCCCTTGGGATTGGTGGAGCAATGGGGAACACTGGGCTGAAGTGGGGAGGGAAGACGAGGGCTGTAGTCGACTGATCCCGCCAGTCGTTCGCTCCGTCTCACTCGCGCTCATGGACCGCCCGCACAGGTGCGAGGGAGGCAGAGCGACGAAAGCGACTCTCGGAATGAGTGCCGGCTCACCTGGACGATGCTCTCGGAGGAGACGACGGCGGCCAAAGCCGCTGCCGTGGACGCGGCTGCGGCCGCGACCGTGGCCCTGCGCCGAGTCGTGGCGGCGCCGGGCGTCACGGCGAGGGGAGGAAGCCGGCGGGAAAGCCGGCGTGCAGCGCGGAGCAGCGTACGTCGGCCAACCTTTCAAGGTTGGCGCGGCGCGGCGTGCAGGTAAACAAACACTCCTACCGCAGCGCAGCGAGGCACGTGCGCGGCACGCGCGGCACGCGGACAGGCAGCCGCTCGCGCCTGTCGGTGGCTGCGCGGGCTGCGCTGGGTGCGCGTGCGCAGAGGGGCGTCGGAACGGTTCACTATCTCCACTCGGCCGCCAGGCGCTCACCACGGGGACCGGCGCTCGAGTGGGAGCCGGCGGCGCGCCCCCAGCGCTTTTAAAGCGTCGGGGTGGGTGGGCCTGCTGAGCCCTTCCCCGGCGCACCCCCCGCCGCGCGCGCCGCGCCCGCCGCCGTCCGCCCCCTCTGGGCCCTCTGCCTCCGGCGGCCCACGCTAGCGGGCTCACTCCGGGGGTTGTTTTCGTCGCCCCCTCTCTCTCGCACTCACGGGCGCCCTCTAAGGGTGAGAGGGAGACGGCGCGACGAAAACGGCTCTCTGAGTAAGTCTGCCGCCCAGCGAGAGGCCCGAGCCTAGCCCGAGCCTAGCCCGAGCCTAGCCCGCCTGCGCGCTGCGGGTGCACCAGGAAGCTGGAGGCGGCGGCGCCGTTCGCTGGAGCCTCGCTGGAGCCTCAGCCGCGCTGAGCACACTCCACGCCGCAAAGCCCGGCTGATTGCTCAGCTACTTGAAAAGCGAGGGAGGGCCATCAACTCAAGTGGGAAACTACGGCGCAGGTACCGACGGCCAATCGGCCTGCCGACGGACAAAGACCGATGGAGACTAATTGCGCAGCAGTCGCGAAAACACTGGGGAAACCGAGTGCGGGGAGCTCTACAGTTCCTGGTGGAGAGTGATTCTCCACACTTGGACGAGAGGAATTTGCACTTACCTCCATGTGTGTCGACTGCAAATTCCACACATCCGCATTTCAAGTCTCGAGCTCTCCTCACAGAATAGCACAGTGAACTAAAGAAAGAGATGAGGAGAAACGAATTCAAACGTCTTAAAACATTTATTGGGTCAACGTGCATCCATAATGATTCTTAAAATACTTTGTGAAAACACTTTCAACGGCGCAACTAGCGCATAGACTTGACTATGCAACGCAACGAAATCAATCGTACATAATCTATGTTCCTAACTTATTTACAGAGATCCCCTCCGGAAGGGACAAACGAAAGAACGAGCTAGATCTTGGCCAGCAGCCTTTACAGCGAAGAGATGCCCGTGGCTACCATCTCGAGGGGGCCGTCGAAGAGCGTACATCTGAAGCTCTGAGGGAAACAAACAAACATTCTCTCTCTCTCTCTCTCTCTCTCTCTCTCTCTCTCTCTCTCTCTCTCTCTCTCTCTCTCTCTCTCTCTCTCTCTCTCTCTCACACACTCCATCAAGGACGCACGCACGTAAACTGCACGACTTACTGTTTAGGGCGCTGACATTTTTACAATATTGTGTTTGATAATGCGACGGTGATCGGGTTTTGTTAAGAATGAATTTACTTATTTTCAAGGGGTACAGTATACAATGGAAAGGGGAAAAAATTGTCTTTCGCTCGGCAAATCACATTTAGCTTTCTTATCTCGCTGATCCCAAAGACACGCGGCGAGCAAATCATCAAAGGTACAAATGACCTACCGTACTCTACGTAGAAGAGCTTCACAGCTAGCTCCGAAGAGGCCCAGGAAAAAAACAACAACAAAACTTTGTGCGTTGTGATAATTTGATACATAACTAACTATCTTCGAGACAAATGCATTACGTTACTTAACATATAATTCGATTGATGAAGTCTGACATATCTCAACAAATTGCGAAATATGACTAATTGTTAAATTCGATCGGCGTCTATCGAGATTAATTGCGTGGTCCCAGTACGAATCTTTTTACAGAGTACTGCAGAAAAATGGATCTCCGGGATGGGTAACTCATCGCTTGTTTGCGATGAGCAATATCAAGGAGAATCACATAGATACAAAAAAAATATATGATAAAACCTTACGCCGACTTGATGCTTGTTTCCAAGGCAGAAGTGCCGTGGTCGTTGGAAACTCTGCGCCGAGCGGCAGTGTAGAGGATTCTTGAGCACATTTTGTCGGTCCAAGTAATTAGCAAGTAGCACACTGTAGGTCTTGGAGAGAGGCCATAAGGCTTACAAACACTTCAAGAAAGCGACTCTGACCGTCGCGGAAGCTAAAAGAAAATCCGCGCACCACTTTCATATCTTGTTACAAAAATTTCACAGCAAAAACAACCACAACACAAGACTGTCACTGTCACAGGGCACGAAGGTGTCCTCTCCTTGGCGGCCGTAGCGTTCACGGCCTCGGCGTTCACGGCCTCGGTGTTCACGGCCTCGGCGTTCACGGCTTCGGTGTTCACGGCCTCGGCGTTCACGGCCTCGGCGTTCACCCTCTCAGCGTTCACGGCTTCGGTGTTCACGGCCTCGGCGTTCACGGCTTCGGTGTTCACGGCCTCGGCGTTCACGGCCTCGGTGTTCACGGCCTCGGTGTTCACGGCCTCGGCGTTCACCCTCTCAGCGTTCACGGCTTCGGTGTTCACGGTCTCGGCGTTCACGCACTCGGTGTTCACGCACTCGGTGTTCACGGCCTCGGCGTTGACGGCCTTGGCGTTGACGGCCGCGGCGTTGACGGCCGCGGCGTTGACGGCCGCGGCGTTGACGGCCGCGGCGTTGACGGCCTCGGCGTTGACGGCCCCGGCGTTGACGGCCTCGGCGTTGACGGCCTCGGCGTTCACGACCCCATCCACAGGCAGTCCGTCTTGCCCTCCAGGAAGGGCATGCCGATGAGCTCGTCGCTGGGCGGCACCGCGGCCATGCGCCACTTGTCCCGGACCTGGAACAACATCACCTTGACGATGAAGCGCCAGTCAACAACGAAAACAACAACGAGACAGCACGTTAGACGGTCACCTCCTCGACGGCGCTGAACACTCGCAGCAGGTTGCCGCCGGCCAGCTTCTTGACGTCGGTCTCGGTCCAGGCCGGGTCGGCCAGCAGCGTGGCCAGCAGGTCCGGGTACTTGGAGACGTCCTCCAGGCCACGCGGCGTCTTGTTGATGCCGTCGTAGCCCGCGCCGATGCCCACGTGGTCCGGGCCCGCCACCTTCCGGATGTGGTTGATATGCCCTGCGGCAAACGTCACGTCGTCGTCACGCACAGTGGGCCAGAATGCCGGCGGGGGCCGGCCGGTCACAATTCAAGACGCGTTTTGAGCTCCATAGTCGCTAAGTGGGACTTGTGGGACTAAGTGGGACCCACATTGGATTGCTCTCAGAACGAGGAATACGTTGGTGGGGTCACATGTTCGGTTCGAGTCGCCTTTTAGCGACTCTGGAGCTCAAAACACGTCTCGAGTTTTGGCCGCCTCCACCGGTCTTCTGAGTCCACCGGTCACGCCGAGAGGCACACTGTCAAACCAAGCGAGGAGAACTCGGCACATTCTGGAGCGGAGTAATCCTCCACACTTGGCCGTGAGGAGTTTGCAGTCTCCACACTTCTAGTGTGGAGTAGGGCCCCTACTGTAGGGCCCCAATCTCTTGCGATGGAGCAAACGTGGAGAGCTCCCGAGGGGGCAAAAACTCGGGATTTTCGTGTACACATGATTCGGAAAACGCAATGATTGCGCATGGTTTTAATTGATTTCATGGCTGATTTTGCCTTATTTCGCGACGCACCAGGGTGATGTTGAGCGTGATTGCGTGTGATTGTGTTCGGAAAGAAATGATTTCGGACTGATTTGGCCTGGTTTCGTGTGATTCTGCCTAATTTCGGTCGATTTTAGTGATTTTGGCTGATTTTGGATTGCTTGATTTCGCGTGATTCTCAATGATTCGCATGTGATTTCGGGGGCCGTGTACACATGATTGCGCGAGTTTTTGCCCCCTCGAGAGCTCCACACTTGAAGTGTGCACTTGAAGTGTGCATATGCAAACTTATCCAAGTGCAGAGACTGACAGGAAGCGCCGCACCTTCCCATTTCAAGGGTGGAGTTCCACACTTGGTTTCACAGTGAAGCGACACTGCGCTGCCTCGCGCCCTCTCTCGGAGACTAGGGTAGAGCGAAGCGGGACTACCCCGCACGCTAGCCGCCCCTCTTTCCGACGCGGAGTATCGTCGCGGAGAGACACCGCGCGGTGCTGGGGTTGCGCCCCAAGGCGGGGGGTATTGCCGGCCGGGGGGGGGGGGGGGGCTCCGCCCGACTGTGTTTACCGAGCGATTTACGCAACTTCTAAGGGCTTCTAAGCCACTTAAACCCGGAGCCCGTGCACTCGCACGTCCTGTGTCAACCGTCCGTCATTTGTACCGCATTCATGGGCTTGAATAACCATGTTCTTTTTTAAATTTACTGAAATTTTTGTGTGATTTTGAAGCGAGGGGATATCCACTATCCACTCGTTACTTTGGTGCACACACGATTCCGGATTCTCACGATTCCCAAACTGATTCCACGAGAATAGTGCAGGTTTTCGAACATTTTTCGTTGCCTTAGAGTGTCTTTCGCCACTGCCCCAAAAATAAGGTGGCGAAACCTTACGGATTTTCGATAAAATTTTGAATGAATGCCGACTGATTCCGGGACTGGACAACCCCGTTCATTTCGAAAAGTCGTTTCCCCTTCTGGCCGCGTGTGTGCGTCCCAGGCACTACCAACTCACCTATGACGTCCTGCAGGTCTGCAGTGTGGTTGCAGGTGACGAAGTACGTGTAGAAGTTGACCATGACGATGCCACCGTTGGACGCCTGAAACAACGATGCGGTTAGGGCTGTGCTTTTGCAGTGGCCGCAGAAGGTAGTACGGAACAAGTCTGGTCAACAATTTTGCCCAGACGTTCCATACATTTTTCCGTGCCACCTTTCTCTACTTGTGTGCGTTTTCCGTAACCGAAAGCACGGATATTTTTCGCTGTGTGGGAAACCATACAGACTTGGCCTCTGATTGCGGCCAAACGAGGGGCATATTAATCCGCCCCAGGCGACGCGGCCGCTCCCATCATCGCATCACCGACGCGGAGCAAGGAACAAGGGGAGCTCGAGCGCATTTGTGATGCTGCCATTATATTCCGGAACATGTCCAATTGTTTGAAATCCGACATCACGGCGTGCCGTGTTTTCCTGGATCGGCCGCTCTTTCAATATGCGCTGATTGCGACGAGTCGCCGGGTGATTGTTCCGTTCACCGCGTCCACGCACTGCACTAGCCTGACATGTCAGAGAGATGAACACCGAACACAGCGGAACAAAACCACGACGCAAACAGCAGCAGAAAAAACATACCGCATGCGCGGGTTATGACTCCCTTCTCAGTCCGCCAGAAAAAAAAAACAACAGCAAAAACGAGCAAAAAAGCAAAATGAAAAAAGAAGCCGGCATCGTTGACGCCATGCGCCATTCACGGCAGCGTCTTCCTAACGACAGCGCGCCGAGGCAGAGTTATGGCCGCGTCCGAATTTAATCCGTCACCGCCAGCCGCAGCCGCTATCAATTATTTGCAGTGCGCTGCGCCACGAATTGACAGGCAGCGGGTCAACCAGCATCGGTCTCTCTCGCACTCGCGGTCAACCGGCAGGTGGACTGACTCCCAAACAGAGATTTACGGTCGCTTCTTCCCTCTCGTTGTCTTTTTGACCAAAGCAGTGTGAATGATCTAAACATGTCCAGTGTAACATTGTGAAACATACCGCCAATGAAAAATAAATAAATGAGGTGCAACGGGCCAGAAGATCGGTGCCGACGGCCAAAATCCCGGACGCGTTTTGAGCTCGTCGCTAAATGGGACTCAAACCGAACGTGTGACCTCATCAATGGATTGCTCTCCGGACGAGGAATCCATTGGTGAGGTCACACGTTCGGTTCGAGTCCCATTCAGCGACTCTGGAGCTCAAAACGCGTCCAGAGTTTCGGCCGCCGGCGCTGGTCTTCTGACCCACTGTGCGGCGCCACGCGACCTGGAGGCGTGCTGCTGCCGCCACGCTACGCCACGCTAAGCCACGCTACTCACCACCTGCTGCAGGATCTCGTCCGGCACGTTGCGCGTCGAGTTGCAGAGCGTGCGCGCCGACGAGTGGCTGAACACGAGCGGGGCCTGCGTCACGTTCAGCGCGTCCTCCATGGTGCGCACGGACGCGTGCGAGAGGTCGATCATCATGCCCAGCCGGTTCATCTCCTTCACCACGAGCTGCGGGGCAAACACACACCTTCATTCCCTGCGACTCAGGCAGTGGGGGGAAAGGGGGGGCGGGGCGGGCGCGTGCTCAGAGAGAGAGAGACAGGCAGTGGGGGGAGAAAGGGGGGGCGGGGCGGGAGCGTGATCCCCACAAGAAGGAGAGAAGAGGAGATCGGAGGAAGGAACCAGAGACAGTCGCTGAAAGTGGGCGGACGAGAAAAGGAAAAAGTGCGGTACCCACACAAGCAAGCACTCTCTGGGGCCCTGAACTGAGGAGACTTTCGCCAAGGAAGGAACCCAGGGGTACGACAAGCCGAAAGTGGGCCGGCACGCAGCAAGACCCCCCTACAACACATACGGCACACCCACACAACCAGGAGAGCAGATTCTGGACACGCCAAGGGCCAGGGGGGGGGAGTTTTCCCCAAGGGCTGGACTCCCGACCGATAACGCAAGGGATTAGCACATGATTGCCCGCCGCCCCACGCGGACGGCAAAACCAGACACACACAAGGACACACACACACACCCGACAACCCCCACCCCCAACAACAACACTTATTTCCCCCCGACAAAGTTTTTCACACACACACAGCAGCCACGCACGCACGTACACTGTAGACACACACGCACGCACCTTCCCCTCCAGTGTCATTCCCTTGATGGCAAAGGTTGTGCCGCCGCGGCAGAGAGGATTAGACATTGAGAGGGCCGCGGGGGCGAGGCGAGGCGGCCCCGATGCCCCGCATAACCAGTGCCTATCAGGCCGAACGTACACGTGGCACGTGGCTTGGCTGTTCGCCACAGAATTCGCGGGTTTACACACACAAAAAAAACAACAACTAAAAACGAAAGTTTCTCTACGGCAACGTAAGATTGATGTTGTAGCTTATCTCACTGTGAAATCACGACACTGTAAAATTAAATATCCTAAACATACGTAGGTGGGTCATTCTACAGAAATGTTACAATTTGATGTCCCTGCCGCTTTGTGACGAAACGGTTCGTCCTAGAAAGACGCGGTTTGCGCGGTGAGATGGTGCTTTTTGTGCTTCAAAATGATCCTTTATTGGGTTTGAAAGTTTCAGAGGTTTTCAGATGACTGTGGCCTCCGGAAGGTGCAAAATGTAAACTCCGTGGCTGTCCCGATGCGTAGTTCACTAAGTTTGCGCCTCTCGTATGTCTAAACGAGACGCAGGACAATCATTCCCGACGGCTCTATTTGCTCAGGCACTTTCATACTTTAACTTAATCCCACTGACTTTAGTAAAAAGGTTGAAGCTTTGCACCTGCACAGAATTAACTTTTGTCCCGAGGTTTTTACTTCTCTAAAATCCACATGTGCACTGTAACGAGTTTGGCACTACAAGAGACAAACGGGAAGTCGCAGCCTCAATCTGAAGACTGCAATGGATTCCGGATGAAAAAACACATCTAGCCACCAAGTTTGAAGTATGTGAGTCCAATGGCTAGCATCTGATTGGTACTCAAATTTCAAAAAGGGGGTCGCGTATTTTTTTTGTATGTAAACTCCGTACCCGATTTGCCACGGATCCCCTGTGCGTCAAACTTTCGAATTGTGGATAAAAACGATGCTTTGGTGGTCCTTTAGTCAGCTGTGTATGCGCGTTCTACTGTTCCAACTCATACGGCTGCAATCCAGGTATTTGCTTCAAAATGTAAACTCCGTAGGCGTCAATTTATGTAAACTCCGTAGACATTTCCCCTATGATTTCAGTGGAGAAAAATTTTTTTCTCGAAAAGTGTGACGCTTGATATCGTTTCGCATTCTGCATGACGAAACAAGAAAAACAAGCCCAATATGAATGAAATCGGACAACTTTTATTTTTTCACGGTTCTAACTGCGAAATTGTAACATTTCTGTAGAATGACCCAGGTACCTCTGTCAAAACCCGTTAACCCCCGTAAACTCACGAATACACGGTAAGACTCGGTCCTGGATCTTTATTCTGTGTAATTTACGAGTAGGGGTAAGTACACCCTCTCGGAGCTGGTTTCTTGGCGTTGGGCCATCCCACGAGCAGTTATTTCAACTAAGAAAAATGAAAATCTGAGTAGGAAATCCCTGACAAATGGGTGTCGAGATGTCTATAGTCGGCCTATTTGCGTTCGGACCGTACGGAACTAGCGCTCCGGGTGGCAATTTCTGTAACTAGCTCCAGGCAGCAAAATAGCAAAACAGGGAATGTCCTTATCGGTGGTACAAACCAAAATCAGGCCATGAAATTGTGGAATTCCTGAAGTAAGCACACGTATCAGGGTTGAAGCAAAACAAAACAATAACAGTGTGGCAGCCGTTCCTCGCCGAGGGGCTGTGGCTTGTGAAATGCCGCGCCTTTAGCGCTTTCCAGATGAGGCGCCATCTGCAACAATGCGCGCGACCCAACTTGACCCCCCCCCCCCCCCCCTCTCAGCTCAGCCTCGGCGTCTCTCATCTTATCCGGCCTTTTTTCGATTTGCTTCCCCCTTTCTTCGCAGCCCAGCTCTTCTTGAGGCTTTTCTTTTTCGTTGCCGTCCTCTGCGCGACCCGCCGAAGCAGAAACCTCCATCCACACTACTTCTCGCGTATCCCGCCGCGCCATCTAACCCCCACACTGATCTCGGCGATAGCGACAGCGGCGCAGCGTAGCGCCGTCTCCTCGGCGGCACGCGGCGCCTTCGCTCCCTCCCTTCCATCCCCTCTCCTCCCGAGATGCATCGCCACCCCCGTTCTGCCCTCGGAGGCGTGAGGCAACAGTAAATTGTATCGCACTCCAACAATGAAAATAGGACCGTAGCGTACGACTCGAAGAGCGCCACGCCGAGCGCCACGCCGAGCGCCACGCCGAGCGCCACGCCGAGCGCCACGCCGAGCGCCACGCCGAGCGCCACGCCGAGCGCCACGCCGAGCGCCACGCCGAGCGCCACGCCGAGCGCCACGCCCGAGCCTCATCCGCGGCGTTTTATATTCATGCGATATGCATAGTTGATGCCGGTCGTCGTGGTGCGGCGACACACATTGTCCGATTTCCAGCAGCGGTCCGCAGCCAGCCAGGCAGCCAGGCAGCCAGACAGCCAGGCAGCCAGCAAGGCAGCCAGGCAGCCAGCCGGGCAAAAAGCGCGGTAGCCAGTGGAAACGGAACAGAAGGCGACGAGGACGGCGAGCCGGTGCACCGCGCCACACCCAAACAAACCGTTTCTTGCTCCGCCTTAGTTTTCACCAGTGTAGGTTCAAGAAAACGGTGTGGCGGCGCAACGAGCTCGCCGGGACCAAACCCACACCACTGAACCTCAGCTTGTGCAACAATCTGACGAGTAGGGAATGGTTTGCTTTGAAGTTTTGTCCAAACGGAACATAAGTGGACAGTGTGGCGGAGTCCATCGGAAACATGGCACTAAAGCGCGGTGGGGAAACCAGCTCAGGTGGCGCAGCTGTGGACGTGGATGACGTGGACGTCGTGGACGTCGTGGACGACGTCCAGCGACAAAGTTTTGACTCGTGGCTGCCTGTAGCGGGCAGGGCGAGCCAGGGCGAGCACGGCAGTCCATCCGGGCAACCCACACCACCACACCCAACTCCGCCCGGCCACCAACGAGCCCTCGGGCTGACATGACATTGCACAGTGGGCCAGAAGACCGGTGGAGGCGGTCAAAATCCCGGACGTGTTTTGTGCTCCAGAGTCGCTAAATGGGACTAGAGCCGAACATGTGCCCCCGCAACAATGGATTGCTCTCCACACGACGAATTCATTGGAGGGGTTACCCGCTCGGGCAAAGTCCTGTTCAGCGACTCTGGAGCTCAAAATGCGTCTAGAATTTTGGCCACCGGCGCCGGTCTTCTAGCCCACCGTGCATTAGGTCTCCTGACCCTCACAATATAAGGCGTAAGAATTCGACAAAATTCCCAGGAAGGCACAATAATTTTCGGAGGGAAGTTGCAAAGTCAGCTTTATCATCGTAGTGTCACCACAACATGGAAGATCTTTACCACAATATGGATAACCCTCACCATGGTTCTGTCGGAGTTTAGGTCTACAGCCCTCTATCTCTCAGTCTCTAAGGCCTTTTCTCCACCAGGCCACCAGGCCTCCGGGGCCTGATGAAGATCGACAAACAAGCAAGGCATCTTACCCATCCACCTGGAAACAACGCCTCTCTCTTCTCTCTCTCTCTCTCTCTCTCTCTCTCTCTCTCACACACACACACACACATACACACATACACACTCACCTTGCCGAAGTGGGACAGCCCGCTTTTGTGCCGGGCCGGCTTCTTGGCGTCGTCCGCGGTCTGCACCTCCTTCTCGCCGACGGAGCAGTCGGCCCTGGAACACAGGAAGGGGCTCAGCTCAGGTAAGGCTGCAGTACCAAGAAACTTTCAATTTTTTTTTTAATTCGACATGTCCTGTGAAGTTTGTGTGCCATGTGTTTTCGTAAATTTGCTGTGAATTTACCCAGATTATTCCGTTTATTTCGGGCAATATTTTTTTTTTTTTTTTTTTTGGGGGGGGGGGGGGTGGAGTGTGCACGGGGCGGCGTTCTCCGTTTTGTCTTCCCGCACAGCGAGCGCTAATCCGAGGGAAAACAAAAGGGAGACCCGATCCCAGCAAAACGCGCCCCGCGGCCGGAAGGAAGGCCTCACGCACACACGCACGCGCCACCGTCGCGCTTAGCCGCATGCATATATTGATAGCCGCACGCGCGTGCGTGCGCGCGACGTGCCGCGCACGTGCGTACGTGAGCGCGGGGCGGGCAAGGCGCAAAGCAAGGTGAGCCGCCCCGAGATTATCGCATTGTCTGGATCTGCATGCGCTGCACGCCCACGCCAAGAGTGCCAAGTTCAACGTGCCGCCCGTGCGTGCTGTCCGTGCGTGCTGTCCGTGCGTGCCGCCCGTGCGTGCTGTCCGTGCGTGCTGTCCGTGCGTGCTGTCCGTGCGTGCTGTCCGTGCGTGCTGTCCGTGCATTCTGTCCGTGCGTGCTGTCCGCACTGAAAATCTATCGGCGTGACTTCGTGCCGCTGCAGGGGCGTGAATAAAGTGTCACGCCAATAAACGGCATGACAGAAAAGTCACGCCAAAAATCGGCGTGACTCAAAAATTCACGCCAATTTTTGGTGTGAATTTCGTGTCACGCCGCTTTTTGGCGTGACTTGTCTCTTAAAAAGCGTTGTCATTCATGCCAAATAACGGCGTGACGCACATGTCACGCCGTCTATCGGCGTGAATATCGTGTCACGCCAATTTTTGACGTGACTTTTTGTCACGCCATCATTTGGCCATGTGTCCGACCATTACGTTTTCAGTGCGTGCGTGCTGTCCGTGCGTGCTGCCCGTGCGCGATGTCCAAAGTTCGTGCGTGCTGCACTGTGGCTAAAAGCTTGAAAAAATTCAATATTTTTTTTCCCAAGATTCTTTGTACTGTAGCCCTCTAGTCAATATTCTCCGTAGGACCGTACAGTCTTCTCCGCAGGACCTTCCAGTTTAGTGGAAGACTGTGTAGTCTTCGCGCTGGCCGTGCGCGCCGTGCACACCCCGACGTTCCCAGCATTGCCGCCTTTGTTTGCGGTCCCCCAGGTCCTCGACGGGTCCTCGACGGGTCCTCGACGGGTCCTCGCGACCCGGGGTAGTTGGCGGGGTGGGCGGCCGGCCCGCCCCGGGGTCACCCCGGCCACCCCGGCCACCCCGTTCGCCAGCCGGTCGCGCCCATGCTGTAAATTCTGTGAGGGTCGGTCCGTGCACGGCGCTCCAGGAGAGGGGGAGGGGGAGCTAAAGATTGCTGGGACGCAAATCGACATTCTTTCCGGGCGAGGGGCGGGTGGTTCAGGGCGGTGAGGTGGGGTGCTGGTGGGAAAGAGGGGGGGGGGGGGCTGCGCGATGCGCTATGAATCACCCCCTCCCTCCGCATGACTGCCGTCCTCCTCATGCAGTGCGTTCTTCGAGACGCGCCACTCTCCACTCATCCATCGTCGCTGCTTGTCGGTGCTTCACGGTGCTTACAGTGCTGCGCCGTGCTTCACAGTGCTCCACCGCGCCCCGCCCCGCCCCACCCCGCCCTGCCTCATCGTGCCGTGCCACGCCCTTGGCCTGTAGGGCGCGTGGAGCCAATTTAATTGTCCGCTCCACCGCCTGCATTCGACAGCGGGGCTGCAGGGCGCCGCTTCCCGTCCGCCTGCCGAACTCCGGAAGGCGAGGAAAGACAGCTGCCGGGGCCAGGCATGCCCAGGCACGCCCAGGCAGGGCCACCAAGCCGATGGCAAGCCGATGGCAAGCTGAAGGTCGACGAGGGGCCGCGTTAACTATTCATGCGGCCCGAAAGACCACACGGTAATGGCGCTTCTGCCCGTCTTTGTGCAGCGCAACGGACCGGCCCGACACCCAGACTCTGCTGCACTGTGAAACCAAGTGCGGAGTCCTCCACACTTGAAATGCGGACGCAAGGAATTTTCAGAATCTGCACTTGGAAGTGCAGCGAAGTCTCCTAGTGAGAACTACACTTGGACTGCAAACTCCACGCGTCCATGGTAGAATTACTCCACAACAGGGAGTGAGTTCTCGGGAGTTCTTCACGGCCTCCCTTCGCTGTTGAGGTCGTTTCCCGAGTCGCCGTGCCCACACCAGGGGGTTTCGGGACGAAATCTGCCTGTACTCGCGTCTGGACACTGCAAGGGAAGGGCTGGCCCTTGAGGCCGCTTGCCTACGCCCTTCCCCCAGAGCGAACGGATCACGGCGTAAGCCCGGTCTCGCTACCCAGCAAAGAGCTAATTCCCTTCGAAAATCGTGGCATCCAAACTAGCAGCTACAGAAACGTTCTGCAGGTGACCCGTTGCAGTTTGAACCACGGTTTCGAACCACTGAGCCTTCCGCGCGGGAATTACTCACCACAGCACCGACGTAAAACGAAAGCGAGACCATTCCATAGCACTCGGAATGACTTCTTGAAACCAATGCGCTGCCGGGACACACTGGTAAAACTTAAGCGTAACTTTATGCTTGAGTCAAGCATAAGGTTACGCTTGAAGACGTTACGCTTGAAATCAAGCCTAGACTAGAAATTCCCCCATGCATTTAGATAGGGGGAATGTTGGCAGATGAGCCTGTTACGCTCGATTTCAAGCGTAACCAGATTACGCTTGAAAACAGAGGGAAATGCTACGCTTTAGTTTTACCAGTGCACTTCCTCAACCTGGGACGGTTCGAGAGACTGCGATCTCTGCATTTCTAAGTGCGGAGACTGCATGTTCCACTCCTCCGCATTTCCAGAGTGGAGCTCTCCACACTTGGTTTCACAGTGCAGGCACCACAACAAGCTGCGATCCGACTTCCCCAGTGGCACGGTCCAGCACGCGGATGGAAAACCTACTTTCCGTCGGCACATGCCCACTTCGACGGAATTGGGGTCCGAGCGGCTTGCCATGCGTGAGCCCGCTAGTGGGGCCCGCTAGTGGGGCACTCGAGGGCTCTGCGCGTGCTGCGTACTCCTCGGCCAGGACGGTCACGGCCAAGAGCACGGCCCGCTACGGCCCTTAACCTTGGACTTCCGCACGAGCCAACCACGTCCGCGCCACCACACTGGCCAAGCAGCAGCCTGAGAGCCGTTTTCCTCTCTCTGTCTCTCTCGCACTCATGGGGCGTCCCGTATAAGAGCGAGAGAGAGAGAGAGAGAGACCGTGCGAGGGAAACGTCTCTCGCAATCAGTGTGTGGGGCTCGGCCTCGACCTTGGCGATACAAGTGGCCGCCACCGATTTTCGCTGAACAGCCCCGACTGCACGGGCGATTCATGGCATTCGATCCTCCGCTCGGGACAGGACCGGCGTGTACTCCACATCGCCTCGATACAGAGTGCGGGCTGCAGGCGAAGTGGTCTCATTTCGAACGTCTCTCTCTCTCTCTCTCTCTCTCTCTCTCTCTCTCTCGCGCGCGGCGACTTGTATACGTGCGAGAGAGACAGTGAGACACTCTGTTGGGATATCCTCTCGAGCGTCGTGCGAAAGTCTCCCACAATGAGACGGCCAGTTCGGAGTGCCGGGCCTCGGACGCACGCAGCCACACTGTCAAACCACCTGCGGAGAACTCCACACTATGAGGAGTACTTCTCCACGCTTGGACGAGTGGAATTCGCATTGCAGTCTCCACGCTTAAAGTGTGGAGTAGCTCACAGAGGCTCTATATCTCCTGGCATGGGGCAATCGTGGAGAACTCCGCCGCGCTTCGAGTGTGGAGTCTGCAAACTCTGCACTTCCGAGTGCGGACACCCCTCCTCCCCACACGTTGGTTCTGCAGTGGTGCAGGAGCGGACAGTGTAAGGCAGTGTAGGACAGGGTGCCACTTGAGCGCGACAACTGACGAGAGTTGTTGTGTCCATCATTCGGGCAAAAACTTCTCGCGTGTAAATGCACAAGTTTTGCGGCCAACTTTTCGCTCGCCACCCCCTTCCCCCTCCCCCTCCCCGCTGCCCGGCCGGCCGACACCGCCTAACATTTCCGCGCCAGCTTTTTGCCTTCGCTGGTCTGCGAGCGAGAGGGCGAGGCCGCGGCCACAGCGGCGGCCCCCGACATCCGACACACCAGCAAACCGCGGTGTCCGCCTCTTTTTGACAAGCGGCCGCGCCGTCCCGGGGCGGGCCTTGTAGCGACCGCAGAGCAACCGGATGCCATTTCCGGGGCGTCAACGAAGCCACGGGTCGAAACGAAACGTGCCCGCTGCTGCCAGGCAGGCTACCAGGCATGCCGCCGAACAGGACGGAGCGCCCGCGGGACGCAGGATAGGCAGCCCGCCTGCACAGCAGTGCCGCGGGTCTGCCTACCCGGCTGTTCGCAGGCGCTCTCAGGACGGAGCCGCGTAGGCAGCAGAGACCGGAGTCGGGCGGGTATTCTGCCTACCCGGGGTTTGCCCATGAACAGGGGGTGGGGTGGGATAGGTAGCGCCAGAGTGAAGCGCCCCCCGGGGAAGGGGGGAAGCCGAAACGGCGGAAAAAAAAAAATTTTTTTTTTTTTTTTCTTGGGGGGGGCAACCGGCGGAGCCATGGGGGGAGGCAGAATACCCCCCACGCCGGTTCAGGCAAGGCGGGCGTCCTAGGCCCTCGTGCGGTGGCGAGGGACCCCGCACGCCCGCCAAAGCCGGGTTAGGGTACGCCTGGAAGCGAGGCAGGCCGGGAAGCGGAAGGGATTGACCCAGGCGTCCTCCCTGCCACCACGGGAGGGGGAGAAGAAGAAGAAGAAGAAGAAGAAGAAGAAAGAAGAAGAAGAAGAAGAAGAAGAAGAAGAAGAAGAAGAAGAAGAAGAAGAAGAAGGGTACTTACCAGGGCGTGTCGCACGTGTGGGTGAGCGTGAGGTAGCGCGCCCCCAGGCCGTAGTACATCCTGAGCACGGCCAGCGAGTTGCCCAGGGTGTGGCCGCCCTCCACGCCGATGAGGGACGCGATGCGGCCCGTCTGGTGGGCGTCGTGGATCGCTGCAACAGAAACACCGAGGTTCTCGAGGCGATTCCACGCGTGCTGCGGCAGAGTTTGCAGGCCCCTCAGGTGTGGAGTTCTCCACGTTTCCACCATGCCAAGAGGTAGCGGCTCTGTGCGCTACTCCAGAAGAGACTACAAACTCCACACGTCCAAGTGTGGAGATATCACTCCGCGCGACACTTGATTTAACAGTGCTCCGAGCAACGGCCCGAGGGGAGCACGACGACGAAACCTCCGCGTTGACTCCGACGGAGTGAAGGCAGCCCGCCGGCAGGGCGGGACGGAAACGTGCCCGCGGGGCGAGGGAGGCGGAGCGCGGCGGAGCGGCCGGCTCAGGCGTTCCCTCTCGCCCCGCCTGGCCCTGCCGGCGTCGCCTCCGGTGGACGAATTGGAACAGACAATAACACAGGCCGAGCGTCAAGAGAGCTTCACTTCCGAGACCGCGTTCCGTGCAGCTTCCAGGCGAAGCAAGGCGAAGCAGGGCGAAGCAGGGAGGGAGGATGTTTGTCTCGGCCACACCGGGGGCCGGGGGATCGAACGGTCTAGCAGTGGAGGATTAGTTCCGAGCAACCAGGAGGGACACCGCCCAGACGTCTGCCGGCTAGGACGAGCCCCAGGGGGCTGCGGGGGCTGCGGCAGGGGTGGGGGGCACATGCCGTGCATTGGCCATGCGAGCCGGCTGCCCCCGAGGCCCCGGGGGCTACGACGGAGCTGAACCTTGATCCCAGACCTGCGTCCGGCTAGCCGGCGGCCCTGTCCGGCCCCGCTCCGCCCCGCCAGTTCATTAGATGAATCCGGCGCGAGCGTAGTGCGTACACTGCCAGGCGGCGTCGGCACTGGCGAGACGCGAGGACGACGCGGCGGGGCGGGGGTGGGAGGCCGGGGGAATCCGGGGAACTGGCTCCACTTATTGGAAGCGAGCCATATCTTGAAAAGAAGTGACACCATATGGGAGAGCGGTGCAGGCGCGCGCCCACACGCGCTCGCACACGCACTGACACCCACACAAGCACACTCACCCACCCACACACACACACACGCGTACCCAGACGCACACGCACACACCCTAACACACCACACTCCATCGCTTTCCGTCGCTCCGGCCGAGCTGGCGAGTTGTTTCCTTCTTTTTTTGTCAGCCGAAATCAATTTGGATGAGGAGAATCCAGTCTAAGAGGCGCGGACAATTTTTTGCGGGGGGGGGGGGGGCGTCTTTGTGCTTTGTGACGCGCCTGATGGAAGCGGCTTCGCGTGGTAACAGGTAGCGTCACGGATCCGTTTATCGGAAAGACGATCAGGAAAAATAAATGTTGCCACAGTCCCAAAGAAAATTTCAGTTATAAGATAGTTTGTACATCCAAATATTGGATACCCTAACTGGCAACTGCCACTTTAGTTATTGTCCCAAACAAAAACGTTTGGGGCAAACAAATTTTAGGACACACCGACTGCAATGTTCTTTGAGCCGCTGGGAACTAACGTGTTTGTTGTCACTGATCTTCTGTCTCTTTTTTTTCTCGAGTGGACCTGCCGTAAGACATTGAAACACCTGCACTTTCATCTCAAAAAAGCCGCGCACCACCTTTTTCCGAGATTCTATTCTCCCTGCCCCTTTCCCATTTCATCACGTCCATCAGACAAGAAGCTTTTTGTCGCCGCGATTTGGCGGCAACCTCATACACGCCGGCTGCAGGGCTGCAGGCGAGGGCGTGGACGGCGTGAGATATTACTCTTCCAACAGTGGTTTGTTTCTGTCCTCAAGGGGAAGTTGAGGGGAAGGGGGCGGCCGGAGTCCCGGAGAAAGTTACTTAGACTTGACTCACGTATATTTAGCTGCCGCCAAGCTGCCGCGCCTTTCATACCCACAACCGGCTGTTCGCTCTGTCTCCGTCGCACTCATGAGGCAGGGCGGCAGAGAGAGTTCTGTGAAATGGCTCGGCTGATAAAGCCCCATTTCCAGCCGGCGGTGCACGCCACAGCAAAGCAACACTCACCGTTCACCGTGGTGGCGATTCGCAGCGAGTCCGGGTGCATTTCTGCCAGTCTCTTGATAACGTCGATCTGCTCCAGCGTGAGCTGCACCGCGTCCAGGAACTGCGCCCCGCACGGCACGTACGCCGACCAGAACTGAAACAGAGGGAAAACGTTGTTTGCTGTAGTCAGCTGCGGCGATGCCGCACGCGAAACCGCGGCAAGTTTTTTATCGAAGAGGTTTTGGAAATAGCGGTCGGACGGTCACAGAACGACAGGACTTCAATTGACTAAATAGCTCGAAAAGGGGCGATACAAATCGGCAAAACGGTGGCCCGTCAAGTAAACTTAATTCGCGAATTTCGTCTCTTTAACCCTACAGGGATTTGAGCCTAGGTCTTGGCCTAAATGGACGGTGGAGGTAAAGCTTTCACCCTGTATTTTCCCCCCGACTTAATCCGAGGATGAAAATTCCCACAGCTGAGATTATATAACCAGCCAGCCCCAAACCGGTTGACGTGGATTCGGCGCGAGAGAGGTTTGCAAGCGAGTGCTGCCCGGCGGTCCGTGCCACGATCGCTGGCACAGTGTTCCAACACGTGGTGCAATGCTTGGCCATGCTTGGCACCTCCGTTTATCGCACAATTTCAAATTCCTCGACACGAGGGGGGGGGGGAGGAGCCGATATCGGGTCCACGGCCCGGTGGCGGATTGTTCCCTCGTCTGGGTGGGTGCCAGCGCTGCCGGCAAGCAAGCCAGCTTGCCACCACACACCTTCACAAAAAAAAAAGAAAACAAATTGTCGTGGTGGTCAGCTTTGTTCGATAGGTTAACATCGACAGCTACAATCGAAAATCCGGTGCCTACAACGCACCTGCTGCGCACGAGATACAACTGGACACTTTTAAGAGGACAAGGTACCCCAGTTTGTCCGGTTGTGGCTACTAGCTTTAGATTTGTGGGTGCCGGAAGCAGCTATCGAATGCAGCCGATGTAACTAGGTGTTAGTCGGAACAAAGTCCTTTTCTTTTGCTAGGGTTCGCCTCCCGCCGCGCGCAAGGCGCCACCTTACCTGGGCCCCCACCATGCCCGTCCGCAGTCTGGTGAGGTCGGTGTGCGACCAGTTGCTCGTCTTCCAGGGCTCGGACGCGTCCAGCTTGGAGAAGTTGAAGCTGCCCATCTGGTTGTGCACGTACTTGCGCATGTTCCAGGGCAGGTCGTTGTGTCTGCAACAAGCAAAGGCGCGGTGAGCGGCGACGCGTATTTTTCGATGCACGGGAAAACATTCCGTACTTCGGTTCGGAAAATACTCAGAGGAATAGAGCACGGAGGCACGGAGAAAAGTACGCAACGTCCGTACTTTTCCACATGAACTCATGTGAATCGGAACCGGGTGCATAAAACAAGTGTGGGTATTCCGTAGCTAGCAAGTACAATGTGAAGTACCGAGATGTGGAATTTTCAGTCCAACACTTTTTGGAAGTGCAGAGTTTGCAGTCTCCACACTTCAAGTGTGGAGACCACCACGTTCTCCACGTTTGCACCATGCCTAGTGGCAGGGGTCTGTGATCTACTCCACACTTGGGGTGCGGAGACACTGCAAAGTCCACTCGTCCAAGTGTGGAGAATTACTCCGCACCCAGATTGGTTTGACGATGTATAGTACGGACGGTCCAGGCAAATTGTTGATCAGACACGTTCCGTCCTTTTTCCTCTCAGTGTTCGGGAGCGCCATTTCGCGGTAGACAAAATAGGGGCAGCGTCCCGATCATAAACGGCCGCAGAACAGTCCGCGGCGCGTGGCCATGTGCTGAGAATGCATGAACGCGTCGTCCCGCGTGTTGCTGGGGTTCCAGTGAAGCAGCGCGGCCCGTGCGCGGACGAGACCTGATTCACGTGAAAACAAATCAGACATGTTATCCAATTGAGCGCCGCACAATCCACGCTGAAGCCAGCGTGACTTCAGTTCCTGGATTTCCAATCAGAGGTCTGCAATGGACAGTTCTGGCTCGAACTGAGAGCTACCGTGACCAAAGCCACTTGGAACCGATCCGAACCGTTGGCTTCATAGCCATTGGATCTACAAGAACTGTTGACCACCTTCGAGTCCCGGCACCGCCATCATTTTTTTAGGGATTTTTTTGCTGTGGCAGCCGCTAGATGTTCGGCCGTCTGTATGGAACAAGTGCTTGTTTTTGCGCGGTTACAAACAGTCATTTACACCGAAAAAAATGATTGCTTCTGCCGGGATTCGAAGCCGCGCTGCCAAGTCGACTCGTGAAGCTCAGCGACGGAACCGAGTCATGCCATCTCTCTCGCACCATAGGGAGCGCTGGAACTGGGTGGACTGTCCATTGCAGACCCCTGTTTCCAATGTGCGCACTTTCAGTTTTATTGCGCTTCGAGATTTCCTCACGCACAGCAAGTTTTTCTGTGTGCACCACACGTGCACCACACTGGTTGTCCCAGGTAGTGCCAAACAACATGAGCCAATTTCCGAGTGTTCCTTGGAAAACCAGGGACCGTTTTCGCCGCTCAGTTCCTGAATGCAAAGACCGGTCACCTCGACGGCCGTTTTTCTGCTACCTATCAGCAAGTTACTGTTTTATGACGATGGCCCGGCGGTGCTGCCTCCGGAGTGACAGGCAGTCGAAGTGGTCGCGTACCTCCTGCTGTTTGCCAGGCTATTTTCGATAGCGAAGCCCAAGCTATTGCATCGCCTACTCTGTAGGAAGGCTGAGATTCACTGTGGCAGCAAGTGCGGAGGACTCCCCGCGCGGTCTTGGATTATTGCAGTGCCCGCACCTGAAGGTGCAGAAATTGCAGTCTCCACGTATGCCGAGAGGTAGGGACTCAGCGAGCCACACCACACATTTCAAGTGTGGACACTGCAAACCCCACACGTCCGAGAGTGGATAATTACTCCGCAACAGGAAGTGAAAAGTTCCTGCCACAGTTGGTCTTGCAGTGTTGGCACCCCGTCGACGAAGTATTCGCTCACCTTGACAGCGACGGCAGAAGCTCTGGACCGGTTTAGTCGTTATTAAGCGACTTAAAAGTCGTTTCTTGACGACACGGTCGCCAATCATTTTGCCAGCAAAGTCCAAAAAGGAAGGCAGAACGCTTTGTGTCGTATCATTACGGCTCCGGCAGCACAAGGGGGAGGGGTGACTCTCCTCGCCTCAGCGTCGGGATCATTTTGAGCCACGTGTCCCGTCTGCCTCTCTGTTTACCGAACACTCGGATCGGAGGAGCAACATGGGTGGGGCCGAGGCGGCCGAAGCGGCCGAGGCTGGCTGTCTGGCTTGCGTGTTGCTGGGGCTGCCGACACGGATTGCTTCAAATCAACAATGGGAAGCAATTTCCGCCGACTTGGCTGGTCTGGCCGGCCTGGCGGCTGACGAGACGAGAGACGGGCCACGACAGAGGAGACAAATTAATTGTGAAAGCTGTACGGGAATTGTGTTGACGCCCGGCCAAACAAAACAACACCGGCGAGCGGCGTTTGGCGTGATTCTAGCGAATCGCCAGCAGCAGACTGCCTCCGAGTCGTTGTCGTCGGTCTGTCTCTCTCGCACTCATGGGGCGTCCCGTATGGATGCGACAGCTCTGTCTTTCTCGGACTCATGGGGCGATGCGAGAGCGACGAAAACGACTCTCCGAATCGGTCTGCTGTTCAAATATCAATACGGCCCGTGCGCCCCTCGGCCCACGCGCTTGCATTCCGCGACGTGTCCGATGTCCGCCGCACACATATTACTCTCCGTCGGGGTGTCAGCGCGACGGCCACGCCAGCCGGACGCGACGCCACGTTATTGGGATGGTCGTTTTGCGCTTTTGCCGCGCCACACGCGCCAGAGTGAATTGCAGCAGACTCATTCCGAGAGTCGTTTTCGCCGCTCTCGCATCCACACGGGACGCCCCATGAGTGCGAGACGGGCAGAGCGATGGGGAAGACGGGCTCTCGGAATCGGTCTGCTGGCTGCGGTGGCAAGGCCACGCCAGGCCACGCGCTGCCGGGCGCTGCGCAGCATCCCACGTGTCGGCTGGCGCGCTGGCGGCGACGGATGCCCAGACAGTGATGCAAACATGCCGAGAATAACCCGGCCGCCAATCGGCCTGGACCACGCGAGCGTGCCACGACAACAGCACGTGCAGCCCACGCCCAACCACGTAGCCATGCTCGGCCAATTTGGCGTCTCATTCACCAGAATGCGATTTTCGTCACATTCGCTTGAAAGTGACTCCGCCATTTGTTTGTGGGATGAGCGCTTTTGATGTTTGGGGACACAACACACTAAATGTTTATGGGCTTTATGTCCATAAGTATGACCGTATTTGTGCATACTGAAGTTATGTACAAATTTTTACATAAAGTAGGTACAATGTTTTACATACTTAAGCACAATATGGAAATATTGTTCCTAATTTATGTACAAATTTGTACATAAGTTCTGCATGCACAAAAACGGCCATAGCTATGGACAATAAAGTACATAAAATATTTAGTGTGAAGATTTCTTTAGAGAAGAGATTTCTCGAACCGAACGTGCGACCCCACCAAAGGGTTGCCCTCCGAACGAGGATTCCATCGGTGGGGTCACAAACTTGGTTCGAGACACATTTAGCGATTCTGGAGCTCAAAACGCCTCTGGCAGTTTTGGCCGGCGGCGCCGGCGCCGGGCCGCTGCGCCACGCGAGCAAACAAACTATCGACGCGTGTTTTTCCCGTTCTTTGATTTATTTTGCATCGCGGCTAGCGAGCCGCAACCCGCAGCCCGGCCCCGCCTCGGAAGCCGTGGCGCGGTCGCGCGCTGCCGTCGGGACTCGGAAACGGGACACCAGCCAGCCACCCCGCCCCGCCCCGCCCCGGCAGCACTGCTTCCAGCGAGGGGAAGCCGATGCACAGTGGGCCAGAAGACCGGTGGAGCGGGCAAAATTCGAGACGCGTTTTGAGCTCCAGAGTCACTAAAAGGGACTCGAACCGACCGTGTGACCCCACCTATGGATTGCTCTCCAAACGAGAAATCCATTGGTGGGGTCACACGGTCGGTTCGAGTCCCTTTTAGTGACTCTGGAGCTCAAAACGCGTCTCGAATTTTGGCCGCTCTACCGGTCTTCTGGCCCACTGTGTGACGAGCCGCTCCCCTCGCCAATGTGCGGGGCCGCAAGGCAGCAAGGCAGCCCAGGCCGAAGACATGCAAATGAAGCCGGCATCGGCGGATGAGAAATTGTTTCTTCCCAAAGCGGGGGGCAAAGGGGCGACACTCGATCGGACGGGGCGGCTCCACGGCGGCCCCACGGCGGCCCCACGGCGGCCCCACGGCGGCCCCACGGCGGCCCCACGGCGGCCCCACGGCGGCCCCACGGCGGCCCCACAGTTTTCGGCTCCAGGCCGGATGTCGAGTCGGAAGGCGCGGCCTTGCAGATTATGGCTTTAACCCGCGCCGCCGCCGCCGCGAGATGGAGTTGCTGCTGCTGCTGCATCGCTCACTGAGCCCAGGCCGCCTGTCATCGGGTGGTCGAAGCCAACGTCGGCATGGACATCGTCGGACACCGTCATGTACATTGTCAGGGACACCGTCAGGGACACCGCCATGGACAACGTACGTCGTGGACACCGACATAGACACCGTCATGGACATTGTCAGGGACACCGTCAGGGACACCGCCATGGACAACGTACGTCGTGGACACCGACATAGACACCGTCATGGACATTGTCAGGGACACCGTCAGGGACACCGCCATGGACAACGTACGTCGTGGACACCGACATAGACACCGTCATGGACATTGTCAGGGACACTGTCAGGGACGCCGCCATGAACACCGTAAGCCCATCTCAGCAAAAGGCCGAAGTCACGCCTCAGCAGTGTCCACACCACAGGAATGCAGCTTTGCATGCGTTTGGTTGGACGGAGCGCTTCACCTTGTGGACGATACACAAACACGTGAAGTTCCATTTTTTGTGACTTGCTCGCTCTGCTTGCCGCCGGGTGCGAGGCCGGGTGTCCCAAAGCCCAATTCGAACTCGGCCGGCGGGTTCCGTGCGGCCACTGGCCTCGGCTCGCAGACAGTGCCGTCCCAGCCGCACCGCACCGCCCGCGCCGCCGGCACCGCCAGTCTCAACATGTTTGCCGTTTCGGCATCTGCGTCGCCGATCTCACCTAAATTGCCTCAGTCATGCCGCGGTGTAGGGCCCTCGAGCCGTCTCGCGTCTCGC